GGACTTGACATTCTGATATCCAAGGGCAGGAGAAGAAGGGTATATCTCAGTTCAGTGATCAACCCAGACTCACCGTGGACTGCAGGGCATCTGCCCTGGTGGAGGGAAGGCCTTCCCTACTTCCATGCCAGCCTCTTATCACATGGAGAAAGTAAGGTTTTGCTTATTCTCCAGTTAGTATTTAATCTAGCTGAGTTGTCAGCTAGAATCAATATTCCAAGCTGCCTCTGATATGATTTTTTCTACTAAAAGGGCCCAGAGACCCTTTCAGGAACTTCTGGGAAAACATCCCTGAGACTGTTTAGATTTATGTTCTGAGTAGCAGACTCGGAGGAAGTGAGTATCAGTTGGAAGGTAGAGAAATAGATCATGAGGAGGCAGTGGATATGGGGTGTTAGTGAGGAGGCTACCATCTGGATAAGGGGTACAAGATCTTCCTGGGAGCAGTGTTTCAGGTTGTCCCATACAAGGGGTAAAGAACTGCAAATTTTCTGGGGCTTGGGTCGGTGTCATGTCTTAACTTTCTGTAAGCCGAGACTATTCTTTTGTTTTCCAGCCTCCCAGACCCGAATAATCATACAGAAATTATATATAAATTACAACACCATTGGACCCATTAGCTTAGGCTTCTTATTAACTAACTCTTTCATCTTAAATTAACCCATTTCTATTATTTTATATTTTACCATGAGGCTCGTGGTTTGTTACCTCTTGCTTCTTGGTCAGCTACATGGCATCTCCCTGACTCTGCTCATCTCTGAATATTTCGTTGCAAAGAAATGACTAGTTCCTGGGTCTGGGTTTAGCTTTTCACAGATTTCTTTCCCAGGTATCAGTCTGTGAAATCCAAAGACTTCCAGTTCTAAATGTTTTCTGCTTTTGAGACTTTCACCATATCATAGTCTCAGCGGGATCACTGCTTGGCTTGAATTGTCCCATCTCTTGTCCCACAGCTGTATTTTCATTCCATAGCACAGATTTATGCCAATCTGAGTAGCTCTTATTTTTTTGGGTGGAATCACTTCAGCCAAGGCTGAACGATCCAGCCATTTGTTCAGGAAGCAACACTGAGTATGTCTATGTGGTCAACAGGAAGGACCTCAACATGAAGCCAACACTCTCTTGCACTGTTCCTGCATCAAATATCCTGTCTCTTTGGTCCCATAGAGCATCAAGCTATCCCAGACAACACAAAATTTTGTCTTGCTCCAAGATGCTCCCTGTGGTGGCTGAATAAACACGTCCTCATAAACTCAAGAATTTAAACCCTCAGCTCCCAGTTGGTGGCACTGCTTAGGGAGGCTGAAGAAGTGTGGCCTTGTTGCAGGAAGCTTGTCTCTGGAGGAGGGTTTTGAAAGTTTAAAGAGTTGGAACATTTCCAGGTGCTCTCTGGGCTGCACGCTTGCCAGTTGAATAGAGCTCCAAGCTTTCTGCCCCATTCACCCCACCTGCTGCTTGCTAGCCTGCCTCTCCCACCTTGACGTTTGTTTCTACAGATAATTATAAATTATTTCTTATTTATGCTTCCATTAAACAACCAGTAAAGTATTAAAAAATTGTAGGCCCCAGTGTTTCAGGTAAACACGAATCAGTTATATCCACTTCTTTCAACCTTGATCTGTCCTAGAAATGACTCCATAGTTGAGAATGTCGACGTCCACATTTGTCAGTGTTCCTCAGGGAAGCAGAATCAGTGTGATGTAGATAGGTTGATGATGGTGAGGATTGATAGATAGATAGATAACACGTTAAAAATAGATGATTGACAGGTCACAAATGGTAGATGACAGATAGGAATTTGTTAAGTCCTGAGATCTTCAGGACCACATGGACAAGTGAGAGACTTGGGGACCAATGGTACAATTCCATCCTGAAGACTGATGTATCCATTTGAGTTAAAGCACTAGAGAAACTGGTGCTTCAATTTTGAGGAAGGGTCAGGAAGGGAGCGTTCCACCTGAATTCGGTAAAAGACAGACTTTGAGCTTTCTGCAAACCTTCAACCAACTGGATGAGGCCCACCTACATTAGAGAAGAAAATTTACTTTTCTCATCTCTCTGATTCCAGTGATATCATTCTCATCCAGCTTATCCTCACAGAAGCAATACGAATGATTAAATTATTCTAAACCAAATATCGGGGCATAAAAAATCCCAGCAAGCTGGCTCATAAAAGTTAACCTTTGTTGCGTTCTTCATTCCTTTACTGACTCCATTGTACGGCGGCCCTGGTTGGATAGAGTGGCCTCCTGTTGGTGGATGTTTGACTCCTAACAACCTCCCATTATCACCAGCCGCTCTGTAATAAATAACAGTATGCATATTCCATCAGTTGTTCACTGTATGTGAGAGATGACTTCTAAGAGATGAGACTGTGCGGTAAAAGGGTACATATCTATGTAATTTCCTCTCCGTAGGGTCTGTGGAGTTAAAAAAAAAAAAACCTTAGATTTAGTTTTGTCTTTAATGTGCATGAGTGTTTTACATGTATATGTTATTTATGTATATGCATATACTTCGTGTGTGTCTGGTACCTTGGGGTCAGAAGAGGATGTTGGATTCCCTGGAACCAGAGTTACTGATGGTTGTGAGCCAGCATGTGGGTTCTTGGAACTGAACGTGAATCCTCTCACAAGAGCAACAAGTGCTCTTAACTGTTGATCTATCTCTCTAGCCCCAGGGCTATGCTGTCCTGTAGTTCCCCACAATTCCTGAAAGCGCCAGTTCCTTTGGGAAACAGGTATCCAGGGTAGGTCAAAGAAAACAGCACTACACTTGGCCATGGTGGCCGGTCTGACACCATGCTCCCATGGTGGCTGGTCTACCAAACACCATGCTCCCAGAGAGAGGAAGTGGGAAGTTTGTGAAATGTTGAACAGAAATCTGTCTTCTGGGATGGCTTAGCTGACTGCTGTAAGCCTTGAGTCTCTAGGAACTACCCCACAGAGAAAGACTAGAAGAAAGAGAAAAAAAGGAATGAAGAAACTCAGAGAAAAACCTGATGTAGAGCCCAGCTGGACCAGAATCAGGGGGCCAGTTCTGTGTTTTTCAGGAACAAAAGCAAAAAATAAGAATTTCTTAAATTTCTACTTTAATTTGTCTTTGCTGCAAGCAAGACAGTCTTCGCAATGCAACATCTGCTTAAAGTATGCTTAGTGCCTCATAAATGTGGGTTCAGGATCAATGTATGGGCAGGCAAATAGAGCGTAACACAGCACAGAACATTACCAATTGCTACATTCTATGTATCTATAGATTGAGTCTGATAAGTCTTTCAGAACTCAGTGAATAAATCAAGAAACAGAAGAAACATAAGGCGAGCCTTGAAGTGGTGGTATTGGGACTGGTTAAAAAAAAAAACAACAACATTCAGTGCCGCAATATACACCAACCCTGGGTTTTGGGCTGAAGCAAGAGCCCATGGCTTTGCCTGTTCCCACTCTCAGATGGGAGCAAACCTCCCTGAGATACCTCAAGAGCCAGGCAGGCTATTTTCACCTATGTTCTGGACAAAGGAATTTACCATCATAAGTTTTTGAAAGACTAGCTGATTCTACTTGAGTTTCCAAAGATAAACCAACTGCTGCTGTCCAGATGTCTGAAGGGACCTGGTCCTAAGGGAAGTTCATCTCCGGCTTTGTCCTGGTGCAGTGAGAAGCCTCTTTCAGCTTGGGATAGGCTCGATTCTCTAAGTAGACACCTATCAAACTTCCCATACAGATGGAGCTTCTGGCAGTCGTTCTCAACCTTTCTGATGCTGCGACCCTTTAATATAGTTCTTTATGTTGTGGTGACCCCCAACCATAAAATTATTTTCTTGCTACTTCATGACTGTAATTTTGGTACTGTTTTGAATCATAGTGTAAATATCTGATATGCAGGATAGTTGGTATGTAACCCGTATGAAAGGGTCATTTTACTTCCAACAGGGTTGCGATCATAGGTTGAGAAGCACTGACTTAGGGATAGTCATTTGGCTGGAAGGCGGATTAAGGGACTTCTACTGGAGTTTTCTTAGTATGTCAAGCCACCCAACATCACTTAAGTTCTATGTTACTTTGGGGTGGTTTTGTAGAGACACACGTGGATATTACAAGGAAACTAAAGAATGTCACACCTTGGGAGCATCCTTCCTTATGGCCCAGATATCCTATAGAAAAGAATCTAGGAAGAATGAGGATAGAACAAAGTCAGTGCAGGGAGCCTTGACTTCATCTAACTTGCTTTTAGCAGGACTCGCTTTTGTAGGTCAATCAGGCAGTCTCTGTTAGAAAGAATAACAGCGGCTGCTGAATTCAGAGGAAAGGCTGCTGTTTTTACTGTTGCCATTTCTACTAAAATCCCTGAAGCAGGCCCTGCTATCCATACCCTGACCTGCATCCCCAGATGGCCGTGGCTATAGAAATGCCTCCATCTGTCTCGCTGTGAAAATGTGTTTATCACATCATTGGCCCATCTGCAGAGATTTTGGAATTTATGACTCTCAATAGTTCACTGAATGGAAACAGATGTTTTATCAGAAATTCATTGTCAAAGAGAAACATTTAATACTGGCAATTAGCAAAGGAAAATGAGGTCAAAGTACCCAATTCAAACAGAGATTCTTCTCTGCAGGACCAGTGTGGCATGAAGTCGTGAACTGAAACCCTCTCTGCTTTGCTTTTCCATGTGGATCCAGGAAAGATTCTGGCTATGATTTGGACAATGGAGAAGACCTCTGTCGAGAACATTCACACACACACACACACACACACACACACACACACACACACCACTAAAGAGATGAGCCAAATGTCTGAGCTTCTACTTGGGGAATCAGCTGCTGATACTATGGGATATTACAGTTAATAAGCACTGGATTTCTCCTAAGCATTGGGCCACACATTTGCATGTACTTGAATGCCAGACAGAGTTATGGCGGCAGGAAATCCAGTAGTCTTTGGGTGGTAATTGCTTTTGAGATTATTTTATGTTATGTGTGTGGATGTTTTTGCTTGCAGGTATATCTGTGCGGTATGTGCAGCGCCACGGAGGATTTTTGATCACCCAGAACTGGAGTTACAGAGGAATTTGGCCCGATCCTCTGGAAGAGCAGTTAAGTGTTCTTAACTGCTGAGCCATCTCTGCAATCCATGAAAGGTAAATTCTTGATGGAGCAACAAAATCAGGGGAAATGAGGTTCTTCCTGCTTAGGTCAAGCTCATGCTGTGCACTGAGAAAGAAATAAACTTGCCATGTGATTCCTGAAGAAAGGGGAGTGTTTATGAGACCACTGATCCCTACTGTCAACTGGAGTCAAGTGGCTATGCGACAGTTTCCTTCCTCTGCAATAAATGCAGACTTTGGGATGTGGTGTTATCTTTAAAAACGGAACTGTTCTAAGAAGAGCTGTCCCTACTTTTGCCCTGGTGGCATCTGTGGTCAGTAGCTACTGTTTGGCAGTGGACTCCAGTTTTTAAATACGAGAACAAAGAATTTTATTTGTTTTTTTTTTTTTTTCCAGCAAGATTTTACCATATAACGCAGGTAAGCTCAAAATCACAATCTTTTTGTCTCGGTCCCCTAAGTTCTGGGATTGCATGTACCAATATATCTGTCTGAAGCTAGGAATTGTTTAGTTATTTTGTTTGTTTTTGCATGTATGTGTGGTGCACATGCATGTGTGTATATGTGAAACAGGGCCTCTTAATAGAACCCAGAACTTAACAAGCTGGCAAAGCTAGCCTGCGTGTCCTAGAGGTCTCCTGTCTCCGCTCCCTGGACACTGTGATTGTAGGCCACCATGCCCACCTAGTATTTATGTGGCTGCTGAGAACCTGCATTCCAGTCCTCATGTTTGCAGGCCAGGTGCTTTATTATTTATTTGTTTTTGAGGCATTTCCCTTGTCCTTGTCCACCAAGTTAGGCTTTAAGACCCCTAAACAGTTTATCTTCATGGGACTTAAGCAAGCAAGTCACACTAGAGTGAGGAGATAGGTCAGGGGAAAGGGTGAGGTGTTAAGTCATTTCCCTTCTCTAAGCGGTCAACAGAAGCCACCTGTTTCTGCACAGCCTTATCCCAGAAGTCCACAGAGGGTCGTGTAGCCTGTAAAGTGGTCGTTTCAAGTCATTCCCTTCTATAGTGCCAGTTCCCCCCTTCTTAATACTGATTACTCTAAACTAAAACTAAACTGTGCCACTTTTGTATCCCTTTATAAAGAGAAAATTCCTGCAGTCCAAACATAAACCCTAAAATTGTCAACATCTGTAGTGTAGACAGTCAAGCCAGGAAGTCAAAGCTGCTTACAGAATATTTCCAATTTCAAATACTCTATCCCTTTGTCTCTAGATATCATCAAAGTATCTAAAAATATCAATATTTTAAATCCAGCTACATAAGAGTTAAAAACCCAGTGAGTGTTACAATGACTCATTTTGGATCAACAACGTCTCCACTATAGTTTACTGTGATGTCTATGCACCTTGCTACATATGCTTGATGATGCTTGCTTCACAAGCATAAGGAATTAAATTTGGAACCTTAGCACCCTCTTTTTGTATAAATAAAAAAGGAAAGCTTTTAACTCTAAATAATAAAACTATAAAAAATAGGAAAATTAGTAGGTAAGAATTGCATTCATAATGTCTAGTCCATTTGTATTTGTCATATTCAGAGAAAAATAATCTATTATCTACCTTAACTTGATAAATTTAAAGTTTTATACCAAAACCATTTTGTATCATAACTTGTATTACCATCTTGAAACTCTTTTAAGACCTCAAACACTTTTAAAAAAACAATTTAAGCTTTTATGTCTCTCAAACTTATACATTTTATACCTCTTCTGTGAGTTTTCTTTTTGAAATTGGTAACAAGGAAAACTGTAATAATAACTATCTCATCTTCAACTCCATCAGAGACCCAAGAAGGATACAGCATTACCTGAGTAAACAGGAAGTTGAAAACCATCCAAAACTATAGAAATGTCAGAAACAGCTGGCTGCCTGGACAGCCAACAAAATTTTCTCTATAATATCGGGGCATCTTTCTTAGGCCTACAGGCCTAGAATGTCAGACAGACTTTTCTGTGAGGCAGAAATTTTGAAGGACTTTCATACTTTGTCTTGGCAAAGTTTGCCTTCTTTTGTGTCCTGTTTTTCCAATTTGGACAGCATATTGTCAGTAGTCAAGGCAAGGGCAGTTTCTTTGCTCAGTGGATAACTTTGCCACAAATGAAAGAAAACTTCATATGGAGGATTTTGATGTACATCATCCTCTTTTGGAGTAAACTGGTGCTACCAGGGGCAGATGTGTCTCACTGTCATGAAAAGTTCTATGCTTTTAAAACATTAAAATGCCATATTCTGTAGGTCTCTAAAGTGTTTGAAGACCATCTATCTATTTAAAATATGTCTCTGATTGACTTTGGAAATATTTCTAACATGACTATAAGTTTTACTCTTATAGATAATCTATAATGTGTATTTCTTTATTAACCTGAATAGTCTTCAAGGACTAGAACTTTATATTACATATTAAAATGAGCTGCATAGATACAATACCTTAAACAAGAAATAGAAACATATAATACAGTATAATAAAATAACCTTAAATTTATATAAAAAAACTTAAACAAGAGTAGAAATATATAGTGTGACAAAATAACTTTAAATTTGTATCAATATAAAAATAACTTAGAGTAGAAACACATATGAGTATGTTCTAACAAAAATAACTTTAAATTTGGGTGATCTGGTCCTTAGACTACATCTCTCAACTGCATCCATCTCCACCAAATCTCAGACTGCACTAAGCTCCTGTCTCCCCCTGCCTCATATTCCTCTCTCCACCCAGCCATATCACTCACTCCCATCTCCACCTTCACAGTGCTGGGATTAAAGGAGTGTGTTTCCAACTGTTGGGATCACCTTTGTGTGAGCTCTGTTTCTCTTTTAGACAGATTCAATCTTGTGTAGCCCAGGGTGGTCTTGAGCTAACAGAGATCCCTCTGCCTCTGTCTTCTGAGCCCTGGGATTAAAGGATTAAACCACTGTCTGGCCTCTAGTGGTTTAGCTCTGCACTCTGATCTTCAAGCAAGCTTTATTTGTTAAAATATATACTTTGGAGACTAGGCAATACTCTGAAGTTAGCAATCTAGACCAGGAATTTGATAACCCTATTTCCATTAAATATTTGTACTTCATCCAAAAAGTGTTTCAGGAGACTCACTTCATTTCTCTGCTTCCTACTTACAAAATGATGAGAAATAGTTCATTAAGATTTAAGAGCAGATGACTTTCTCACAACTATCTGTAACCCCAGTTCCAGGGGATCCAGTGCACTCTTCTGGCCTCTGTGGGCATCAGACACACATGTTATTTGCATACATTTATGCAACAAACATCCATACACAGAAAATAAAAGTAGTTTTTTTTAAAAAAAAGATTTGAGAATGGGGCTGGGAATATAGTTCAGAAGTAGAGTGTTTATATAGTATACACAAAACAAACAGTTCAATCCCCAGTATATGCACACACACACACACACACACACACACACACACACACACAGAGAGAGAAGGTGGGGGTATATTTGGGAATAATGATAGAAGGAAAAAAAAGCATTTTAATTTAGAAAATAGGCTAAATATTTTTAATGGTTTGTCCTAACAAAATAGATGGTTGTGAGTACCTTGGGCACCATCCAGAAACTGACAAGAGAACCTAAATTCACATGTTTTTATGAATTCTAGCCTATAATTTTCCTGTTAAAATGAAGAGTTCCTTCATTGTGTGTTAAGGGATAATAACTTCTACTTTTGTGTGCTGCCAGCGTTCAGCTAACGTATTGTATTTTTGTATGCCAAACTAATTTTCTCAATTTGCCTCACACAGGAGCAGACAGATAATCGAGGGGGCTGTAATACATTTGCATTGGCAGTTGCTGATGATCCTCAAAGCTGCCATCAGGAATGGAGAGAAATGTGGGGCCCCTATGCTGGGCAGAGGGAAGCAGCTCTGTTACCCATCACTTGAGTCACAGTGATTGACTACATTGATGAAAGAGGCTTGCCCAGTTTCTTCCAGCTATTGAGTTTTCCTTAAAAATCACGAAAACTTGAGGTGTTTCCCAGTTCCCCCAGAAGAGGAAGATCTTTCATGAACTTGGCATGATGGGAGTAAAGATCCAGGAGGCCTCCAGATGCAGAGCTGGTGTTGCCTGCCAATCTTTGATCTCCCATCCTGCAAAGAGAATCTCTCGTCTGGACAAACGTCACTTCTGTAAGAGCTATTAGTGAACCATACTCCAGTGGAGGGGCTGCTGTGACGGGTCTCTGTGTCAACCGAGCCACGGATGTCCTAGTAAATGTTACTTTTAGGTGTGTGTGAGGGTGTTTCTGGAGGAAGATTCGCATTTGAATCTGTGAACCAGGTCAAGCAATTGGCCCTTCCCAGTATGAGTGGGCTTCACTCAAACCACCAATGCCTTCAACAGAAGGAAAAACACAGGAAAGGAGAACTCGCCTCCTGTTGTGGTTTGAATAGGAACGCCCCCCCCCCCCCCCTAGGCTCGTAGATTTGAATGGTTCGTCACCAAGGAGTGGCACTATTAGAAAGTGTGGACTTGTTGGAGTAGGCGTGTCTTGTTGGAGGAAGTGTGTCACTGCGGGTGGGCTCTGAGGTTTCAGAAGCCTAAGCCTGGTATTGACTATCTCTTTCTCTTCCTGCTTCCCGAAGATTTGGGTGTAGACTTTCAGGTCCTTCTCCAGCACCATGTTTGCCTGCCTGCTGCCATGTTTCCCACCATATGATAATTGCTAAAAGTTACAACGTTATATAGTAATATAGTCATCCTTTTACAAGCGACTTATCAGAACCAAGGGATCTGGTAAAGGCTAAACCAAAGGCGATGCTTTTTGGTGCTATTGCTTTGTGAATAAAGCGGCTGTCCTTTGCTGCACATTTTTTCACTGTAGCTGACTCCCTTTCTGTTACATGTTTGGGAATTAATTCCCACAGTTCAGAACTGTTTCCTATGCCTTTGGGCTACGTGTGAGAACAGTTTCCCACTGCCAGGCCTTATTCCTCGCTCCTAGTTAAACACAGAGATCTGTCTTCCTGCAATTATCTTTATCAGCTGGCATTTGGTCAGTGCTTCGAGTCCAGGCCTAGAGTACTCTAAGATATTCACAGATATCCAAGGACACAGAATTACTACCTGCCCAAGCTGCTGCTCTGGTTTTACCCCATGGCCGGAACAGCTGATAACAGTGTAACCTGGAACTGATAATTTAGAGGCCTAGGTCCCTTCTTTGTTTCTGCTGCCCAGAGCAAAACTCCAGACCTAGGCCCATAGAAACTGCAGTGTCTGGTGTATGTGCTATCTGACCTAGGCCATCAGCTAGTCCCTGACTGCTTACGTAGGTTGCTTGGCACCTAATTCTATGCATGCTGGGAGAAAAGAAGTGGTGTGCTGATTTAAAATACAAATCATGCCCTATTCATAATTTTACTGAAAACAAACTTTTTAACTCTTCTACCACCTGAAGATGTAGCACAGTGCGCTAACCTTCCACTTTAGAATTCCCTGATGGTTTAATTCCTTTCTTAGCTAACTTGCTCCATTAAGGAGTTCACTGGACGTGCATGGATCTGTGTGTGCGAAAACAAAACAAAACAAAACAAAACAAAACCTTGTATTTGATTTTTATGGGGCAAAAGAATTCTGGCCCTTGAACCTGCTAGGGTGGGGGAATTGCTGGTTTTAAGGATATATATGACTGAGGACGTTTGTAAGGGGTAGGACAAGGAACAAGGTGGAATAAGAATGAAGAGAGGAAGAGGAGAGAAGAATAAAGAAACGTGGACAGACAATTCCTGTTGTAAGTAGATTTCTTACCCCTCAGATCTTAACACTCAGATTTTTAGCCTTCTTCAGCTCTTCCTGGCATCTTTAATTGAACCCTGAACAGAAGCCTTAGAGACTAGAACTTTAAGGCTCCTGTTAGATAATGGACTAAATTTCTGAATATAAGCAGGCCTCAATTAAGTGCTTTCTTTAGAAAGAGTTTCATGGGTCATGATGTCTCTTCACAGCAATAGAACACTGACTAAGACACCTCCCTTTTCTCTGCTTCAGCGTTGGAGCTGGGCACATTTCTTCCTGCCCAGAGATGGTACTTGTACTATCTGTCTCTGCTTCTGAGACCTTTATACTCAGAATGAAGCATACTTCTGGCTCTCCAGCCTAGAGGCAACAGACCATGGAACTTGGCCTCTGTGGCCTCATTAGGCAATTGATTACAGTAAATATCTCTTTATTCTGTGTGTTTTCTTCCTACTGGTTCTTTTACTTGTTCTGTTCCTCTGGTTAAGCCTTTAAAAAATGGTCCTGGGGCTGGAGAGGTGTCTCAGAGGTTAAGAGCACTGGCTGCTCTTTCAGAGGTCCTGGGTTCAATTCCCTGCAACCACATGGTGGCTCATAACCATCCATAATGAAATCTGGCGCCCTCTTCTGGTCTGAAGGTGTATATGCAGACAGAACACTGTATATCCAATAAACTTAAAAAAAAAGTCCTGATGCTCCATTTTCTAGGAAAACAGAAAGAAAACATGTAGTTAACACACCTTTAACTCAAAAATAAAGTTAAATTTTTAAACATAGGTTGAAGACAGAATTAACCAAGTTTTTTAATGAGATCTTCATAATATTATCTTAAATGTTTTTCTCACTTCCCCATTATTATTAGCTTTCATCATATTTACTAGCCAACTCATGTAACCTTAACTTACACAAAATAGGTATATTTTATATTACAGACAAGCACATTATAATCTTCCTCTTTCTCTATTTCAATCCCCACTTTTAATTTGTCATCTCTAAATGCTATGTACATAAACAATGCTTGGGAACAAGGGACTTGTTCCCTCTCTCTCCTGGATTAATATTGCCACACAGCAGTGATAAAGATGTGCTTGCCTCTCATGTCACTTTCCTACGTGCCCTCGGTCCACTCAGCAGACAGAATGTACATCTAGTTTAGTGAGTTGACTGTGTGTGTGCACTTGTCTCTAAGTTTACAGGACACCATCTGCTGAGAGAGAGCTGGGTGTACCATGGGGACTCTGAAGAGCACCATCCATTATTCTACTCACTTTTCCTCTATTATAAGTAAAGCTTTAAGTTACTTATATTCAGAAAATTCATTTTTGCGCTTCACTTAATCATATATAAGCCCTTTCTCGCTCAATAGCAAATGCTCTGCCATGTATGTGTGGCGATCTATGTATATATATAAAATGGATCTCTTAAAGTCCAACTCAAGAGGATTAATAGATCTAAAAGACACAAGTCCATGAAAGAAAAACAGACCTAAAGGTCTCTGGTGAGTAGATAAGAGAGCCCAGTACAGTTGTAGAAAATAGGAAGTATAGGAATGATGTTGGCTGATAGATTAGGAGGAAACCGTGGTCTTGATATTAGCACGGAGTGGGCTGTAAAAAGCAAGAGTGAAGGAATGTTGTGTAAGAACTGTCCTCTGGGTCCTAATCTTGCATGTGCAGAGCCTCAGTCAAATCTGGGAGAGTTCGTATAAAGAGGCTGCCTTTACAAAGAGAGATTTTGGCGTTGTAGAGCGTGTATGCCCATTGACCAGTATCTGCTTGTTTATATAATTTGCCATTCTTAACATTCAACTTAAAATAATATGAGAAGGGTTTATTTGCAAGGCACAACACTAGATTTATTCAAGTAATCATTGGGAAGAATAGGTCCAGTGACCATATCCCCAAGGCCATCTTCAGGGTATTGGCATAAGGTCAGGAGGTATGCATAACTCAGCAGTCTTTGTCATGGTATGGCCCCACCCTTCATTGTCCACATTGATTAAGCATTGAAAAAACCTCAGCAGGGATACCAAATGTGTCAGGGTTGCATTAAGAAATAATACTATTTTAAAAATAGAATTCCTCAGCCATTCTGTTGTAATAGGAGCGGCAGGGCTGCGTCCCCAGTACCCTGGCCGCCTGCTAGCTTATGCCTCGAAATAATTACACGGACACTGTATTCTTTTAAACACTGCTTGGCCCATTATATCTAGCCTCTTCTCAGCTAACTCTTGCACCTGGACTAGCCCATTTTCTAATAAAGTGTGTAGCACCGAGGTGCGCTTACCGGAAAGATTCTAGCCTATGTCCATCCTGGGCTGGAGCTTGATCGCGTCTGCCTCAGAGAGCAGAGCTATTGCGTCTGCCCGGGAGAGGGGAGCATGGCATCTCTGAGCTCACTTCCTCTTCCTCCCAGCATTCTGTTCTGTTTACTCCACCCACCTAGTAGTATACACCTTTAATCCCAGCACTCAGGAGGCAGAGGCAAGAGGATCTCTGAATTTGAGGCCAGCCTGGTCTACAAGAGCTAGTTCCAGGACAGGCTCCAAAGCTACAGAGAAACCCTGTCTCAAAAAACAAAACAAAACAAAACAAAAACCTTTCTTGGATTAATTTGGCCAATATTGAGCCAAAATTTGATTTCTCCAGTGTCTTCTATCTGTCTATAATTTGTATTCTGTGGCTTGTCATGTGTGTGTGAAAGAGAGAGAGAGAGAGAGAGAGAGAGAGAGAGAGAGAGAGAGAGAGCGATCTGTCTCTATTGCCTGTCTGCTGTGCCTCTGTGTTTTATCTGCCTGTTGTATGTGTGTCTGAATTGTGTCTTTCCTGCGTCTGTCACTAACCAAGGGCTTTGCTCTGTATTTATTGGATCCACAGATGGCATGGTATGGAGAGGAGATGAAGAACAGCTTTTTACCGACCTCCTTAACAGAATTTCACAAAGGAAGAAGTTACAGTACTGGACCCGCTGACCCAGAATAGCTCTCAAAACTCAGAATACCACTCAACCGCAAACAGAAGTTAGCAGTCTGTATCCACTTGCTGGTTCCATTTGTTTGGTTCAAGATTGCTTTCAGCCTGGTGGTGGCTTTCTGCAAATGACTGCCACAACACACATCAACCACAATACACATCACATATACGTACATGATTCTGGGTCAGGGGCATAGAAGAGCAAATAATTTAAGATTAAAGCTATGCAGTAGCTTAGGTTGTAAAGTTGATTACTTGAGAATCTCAGAACTTAAATTAGCCTGTGTCTATTCATCTATATTCTGCCACAGTCTCTCCTCCATTCTGTATGTCCGACTCCTTCCATGTCTGCTAGTGAATCTTTCCCCACAAGTCCTGCCTCTCCCCTCCTGCCTGGCTATGAGCCATTTAGCTCTTTATTAAGCCAATAAGGTGCCTTAGGCAGGTGAGGCAAAATATAGATGCATCTTCCTGCAGTGTAAACAAATCTCCCACGATGGTCAGCTTTAGCGTACACTACCATAGTCAGCAGTTGTAGTCACATCTGTGGTCATTTTGATGGTCAGTTGTAGCACCTACTCTGATGTTCATCCATAGTGATCGCTTATGTGGTCACTTGGGTGGTCAGTTGTAGTGTCCACTGTGATGATCTGCCATAATGATCACTATTGTGGTCAACTGTAGTTTCCACTCTGATGGTAAGCCATAGTGGTTGCTTTGTGGTCATTTCTGTGATCAGCGGTAGCATCCACTCTGATGGTCAATCACAGTGATCACTGTTCTGGTAATCTGTGTGGTGAGTCATAGTGGTCACTTTGGTGGTTAACTTTGATGGCCAGTTGTAGTGTCCACTCTGATAGTCAGTTTTAGTTGTCACCTTTGTAGCATCTACTCTGGTGGACAGTCACAGTGGTCACTGTTGCGGTAATTGTTGGGGTCAGCCAAAGTGGACACTTTTTAGTCAGTTTCATGGCCAATTAGTGGTCAGCTCTAGTGACCACGCTGTTGGTCAGTCATAGTGGTCTCTTTGTGGTTACCTATATGGTCAGCTATAGTGGTTACTTTTATGGCCAGCTGTAGTATCCACTGTGATAGTCAGCCATTGTGGTCACTGCTTCGTTCACATTACAGTCACTTCTAGCATCCACTCTGATGGACAATCATAGTGGTCACTGTTGTGGTCAGTTGTTGATGGTGGGGGTCAGCCAAAGTGGTCACTTTTGTGGTTATTGCGGTGGTCAGTCGTTAGTGTCCGTTCTTATGGGCAATCATATTTGTCACTTTTGTGGTCAATTGTAGCGTCCACTCTGATGATTAGCCATACTGGTCCCTTCTGTGGTCACTTATTGGTCAGCTGTAGCATCCATTCTGATGGACAGTCATGGTGGTCACTTTGGTGGTCAGTAATAGTGTCCACTGTGATGGTCAGTTGTAGTGGTTACCTTTACAGTCACTTTGATGACCAGTTATACTTTCTACTCTGTTGGTCAGATTTTTGTTTGTATTTGGTTTTGGTTTTTTGAGACAGGGTTTCTCTGTGTAACCTTGGCTGTCCTGGAACTCACTCTGTAGACCAGGCTGGCCTCAAACCAGAGAGATCTGCCTGCCACCACTGCCAGGCCTGATGGTCAGTTTTAATGGCCACCTTTGTTGTTACTTTTGTGGTCACTTTTAGCATCCACTCTGATGAACAATAATAGTGGTCACTGTTGTGGTCATTTATAACATCCACTTTGATGCTCAGCTGTAGTGGTCACTTTGGTGGTCAACTGTAGTGTTCACTCCGGTTGTCAATTATAATGACCACTATTCTGGCAATCTATAGGGTCAGCATAGTGTCCACTTTGGTGGTCAGCTGTAGTTTCCACGATGTTTGTCAACCACAGTGGCTGCTTCTGTGATTACTGTGTTTGTCAGCTGTCGTGTCCTCTCTGGTGGTCAATCATAGTGGTCACTGTGGTGGCCATGTTTGTGTTCAGCAGCAGAGTCAGCAGAGAGTGACTATGTTGCTCAGTCTTGGTGTTTGCTGTGACTGATGGTCAGATGTTGTGGTCACTGTGGTTTTCATTAACCTGGCCAGCCATAGTAAGCACTGGGGTGGTCAGTTGTAGTGTTCTCTGTGATGGGCAGTCATAGTGGTCACTGATGTTGTCAGCCATAGTAGTCAGTTGGAGCAGTTGCTGTGATGGTCAATCGTAGTGATCATTGTCACAATGTCCACTCTGAAGGCATAATGATCATTGTGGTGGTCTTCAATGTGGTCAGCTGTAGTGGTCAATGTTGAGGTCAGTTGTTGTAGCCTCCATTGTGATGGTCAGTCATACTGGTCACTGTGGTGGTCATGTAAGTGGCCATTTGATGGCTAATTACAGTAATCACTGTGGTTGTCACTGCTCTCATTAGTCAAAGTGGTCACTTTTGTGGTCATTGTGTTGTGGATCCAAAAATGTGAGCCTATTCCACCTAGTCTGAAGGTCAGAGAGTTTGAGTTTATGTTTGCTCTTTCAAAGTTGTTGGCAACAGGTGTGGTTAAAAACAAGATATCCTGACCTAGGATGTGGTTACTTGGTGTTCTGAGCATTGAGATGGCCCACAGAGGTGGATCAACTCTACCCTGACCAAACATCAGAGGATTCTAGCCTACTTCTGCTCTTTCATTTAAAATAGGAGGTTTGTCATAGGGAGTAGTTGCCTACATAATACTTGGTCTAGGGTGTGTTCACTGCCCCAAACATCAAATGCCTTTCTAAGGAATTAATGCTTTGATGTCTCAAGTACTGAAGAAGCAAGTAACTGTTCTGGTATCCTTTCTGTCATGGTAAAGTAGTCTTTTGCGCCCCCCCTTTTGTATTGAGGTATAAAAGTGTAAGGACAATAAATGCAGGAGAACTCAGAACTCAGAATTCAGCATTAGATATTTGCTGAGCTGCCCTTCTGGTACTACCCTATGTCTCTGTGATTCTCTCTTAATTTCTGTTCCTCTTACCTAACATTTCTATTCCTCATGGCCCTATCCTGGAACCTACAACCCCACGGCTATGACCATGGCAGAAGTCACTCCAAAAAGGTGACTTATGACAAATGTGGTGGTCAGTTGTAGTGTTCATTGTGATGGTCATTCATGGTGGTCACTGTGGCTAGGTTGTCTTATGGTTATCATTGCTGTGATGAAACAGCGTGACCAAAGCAACTTGTGGAAGAAAGGTTTATTTGTCTCATGTTACTACCAAATCATTGATGGAATTCAGAACAAGGACCCATCCAGAGTAGGAACCTGAAGTCAGGAGCTGATGAAGAAGCCATGGAGGGAGGCTGCTTAATGCTTTGTTCAGCCTCATTTCTTACAGAAGCCCAGACCACCAGCCCAAAGGTGGCACTATCCACAATGGCCCTCCCCCATCTATCCCTAATAAAGAAATGTGCTCAGGCTTGCTTGCAGTCTGATCTTACAGAGGCAGTTTTTAAATTGAGGGTCCCTCCTCTCAGATGACTTCAGCTTCTGTTAAGTCAACATAAAACTATGCAGCACAGAGGGTCATGTCTACATCCATACCTGAGTTTTATTTACAGTGGACATAGTACCAAGAACAGTCTTTGCAATTCTGGTCTTGTGTGTCAACTTGACGCAAGCTAAAGTCATTAGAGAAGAAGGAGCCTCAGGAGAGGTGATGCCTCCAAGAGAAGCAGCTGTAAGGCATTTTCTCAATTAGTGATCAATGGGGAAGGTCCAGCTCGTGGTGGGTGGTGCCATCCCTGGGCTGGTGGTCCTGGGTTCTATAAGAAAACGGGAAGCCATAAGCAGCTTGGTGTGGGAGGTCCTTCTGTCTATGTAAAAGCTAGCCAATAAGAAGTAGAGATAATAGGCCAAGCAGTGATTTGATTAATACAGTTTCTGTGTTGTTATTTTGGAACTGAACAGTTGGGAACTAACTAGGGAGTTCCTTACTATAGAAGCTCCCCTCCATGACCTCTGCTTTAGCTCCTGCCTCCAGGATCTTGCTCTACTTGAGTCCTGTCCTGACTTTCTTTTGGTGATGAACAGTAATGCAGAAGTATAAACTGAATAAGACCTTTTCCCCTCAACTCACTTTTTGGTCATGGTATTTTGTGTCATCAATGGAAACCCTAACGAAGATAGTCTTTGATTTCCAACACAAAATCAGACCAAGGGGGAATACATACTCAGATCACCACTGAAACTCAAAACTCAGGTGATATCAAACTTTCTATGTACTGCTATATTTCCTAAGTGTACATTACTTATTATCAATTTATAAATTAGGTAGGTACAGTAGAGATTAACCACAATGACTGATAATAAGATGGAAAAATTATTTTCACATTTTTACTTAAATGACATTACAGCTTTTCTTTGGTACTTCTAAATTGCTACCATTATTTTTGTGCCTTTGAGAGATTATTCAGTAAAAGATGGCGCAGAAGGTAAAGGCAGTTGCTTACCAAGCCCGAGGACCTGAATTCAGTCCCAAAAGTTATCTCTGGCCTCCATTTACATGCCATGACATATGTGTGCTTGCATATACCCTCTCACAACATGCACACACATACACACACACACTCATAATAAATAACTAAAGTAATAAAATAAGTTATAAGTTATCTTCACAGACACTGGTACTCTGACAGCCAATCTTATATTTAGGACAGCTCCTAGTACTAGACTTTCTTTTGTGGGTCACCAGCCAGCTCCCAACTCATGACTTGGAGACTTACTGGTTTTGAATGCTTGGCCTAGCTTAGGCTTGTTTCTGGCTAGCTCTTTTAACTTAAATTAACCTACAATTCTTTATCTACCTTTTGCCTCGGGGCCTTTTACTTTTCTTTCCTTCTGTATAACTTACTTTCACTGCTTCTTGTGTCTGGCTGGCTGCCAACTCCCTGGCTTCTTGCCCCAGGTGTGTCTTCTTTCCTTCTTTCTGAGCCTAGATTTCTCCTCTTATTTATTGGCTCTGCCTGCCAGCCTTGCCTGTCTTTCTTCTGCCCAGCTATTGGCTGTTCAGCTCTTTGTTAGACCAATCAGGTACCTTAGGCAGGCAAGGTGAAACAAACGCATCTTTACATAATTAAGCGGATGCAGCATAAACAATATTAACACAGCTTTACACAGTTAAAGGAAGATTCTACAGCATAAACAAATATCACACATCTTTCCCTAGTTAAAATA